TAAGTAAAATCGAAACAAAACTCAAATCCTGGCAGAAGGGGGGTCTGGCAGCCCGTCTGCAGACCTAATTGGACTTAGGTCAGATTCATGAGTAACACTGTTTCCCATCATGTGTGAATCCAAGCTGGCTGAAGTCTTCTTGGCCACCCTATTAAGCCAACACCACTGTAATCCATTTAGTCAGGGAGAAGTTGGCACATGCCTATGCAGGCAGCTAAGCTTTTTTTTTGCTGATCTGAAGCATAATATGTGCCAGTGGGATGCATGTGAGGAGAATGATTGCTTTGGGACATGGCTTGTTATCCTGTTCTGTGTGATTGCTAGGGCCTGTCAATCCTAAAAAATGTGAGGGGTGGAGAAGTCAAGGGGTTACATCCTAAGAACTCTTTGTTTAGATAATCCTGGCTCTTGTAGGAAGCACACAGAATTTCAGGGTCAGCTACACACGTGTGTTTCAGACCTTTGGAGGAATCCATCTTTAGATGGGTGTACAGTCTTTTGACGGCAGATGTGAACTCATCCTGCTTGTGCTCCAACTCAATCAGCAGCAGTGTAATTACATTTCAGGTAACACTGAGCTGAAGCAGATGTATGGACAGACAGTGGCACAACATCTGGAAAGCAGACAAATATATGCAAAATATAACAGAGGTCCGTTTGCTGAAGAAATAATTGAAATTCAAATTTTTGTTCTTTTAAAAATGCAGGCTGAGAATAGTCTAAAAGACTCAATGTTTTATTTACAGTGTTAGAAAATGATCTACAGACTATGAGCAAGGATTGTATTAACAGGAAACAACTGCTAAAAAGCTACTCAAAATAAGGAGGACAACTGAATGATGGTTCTTGACATGGGCTGGTTTCTACACAGAACTTTTCAGCTATTGAACTGGGAGGGAATCCAAAGAACAACGTGTTTTATCTGAAATAAATGTACTGAAAACTAGAGGGGATACAGATAAACATAAAACCCCACATATAATCTCTGAGGATGATGGTGACATAGTATGAGTTATGAAATCTGACAATATACAGGGGCAGATGGTTTGTAATAGCAAATATCAAAAGTTTAAAAAGCTGTCTGGTTCAAAAATAGTGCCTTTGTTTAATTAAATTCCCTAAGATGTGAAAGGGCAATTACAGTCCTAAAACAACTCCTGGCTGTTAATTTCCAAAGCAACTTTGTTCACTTGATATATAAATGACCATTTTCTTTCTTTTTTTCTGCCACCATATAGGGCTTGAACCATGGGTGCCTGGTTGTGTCACAAATGTAAGCTGTAATATTTTTTAACTGTGGGAACAAGTTGAAGGGGGTGAGGTGTATTAAGAAGCTTTACAGTCTGGATTTCAACTTCTTGGATTCAAGCACTGGCAGCATTTCAGGTTCAAAGGTTTTTGTTTAAAATGAGGTTTAATGTGCGTAGACTGTAGCATTGCCAATAATATCTTGAACTGGGTGAGTTTTATTGGGTGATTCATAAAGAAAGTCAGACAAAGTATGCACAGTGGTATTGGAATGTGGGTGGGATCAAAGTAATTATTTGGTGGAATATGCTTGTCAAGCTCAGCATACAGGAAATCTTCTTTCTGAATAAAGATGGATTTAGCCCATGAGAACCTCAGTATATTTCCAAGTGTCATTTATTCCAGTGAACCCCAGTGAAAATACCAAATAAAAAGAGAAAGCTGCATCGTTCACCTTCAGATATTCCACAGGCAATGAGACTACAGTCAGACTTGTTGGGAGTAAAGGGCAGGAAAGTTAAAAAAATTTTAAAAATAACATGTGTAGTTCCAACACAGAAGAAAATTCTATCTGTTCTCTAACGGGTTGGTTGCAACGTTTTATGTAAATACAATTTTGCCATTAATTCAGCATCCATAAGCCTGCTGAGCTGGGTTTGTTGTGATTGTACATTTGCATGCACATACCTCACTCTTTCTGCAGTCTTCCTGTTCACATCTCTTTCCAGGCAGGATTTTGAAATCCACAGAGTTGATTTTGTTTCTGAGACTAAGGAGCCACTTGTACTGAGAACAAGGAGCTCTAACATGGGGCAACTGAGTCCTGCTTGGAGGGTTTTATACTGGTATGAGTGATAGTGTTGTCTTGAGTTCAATTATTAAAAAGCAATTACATCTATAAAACATCTGTTTTAATATATTATGTTTAATTTCTTTTTGGGTCCTGATCAGGATATATGTCTCCGGACTTTTTACACTGCTTGCTAAACAGTAGCCTGCTGTTATCCCTGGTTTCTCCATTTTGATGCTCTTGGAGGGCATAACCACCTTGGAAGCCTGGCCATGCTTTCTTACAGCCCTGCAGGGCTGAGGGATGCCATGGTCCGATCAGCAGAACCCCTCCACTCTTGTGAATACCCAGAGGGTAGCATGACACATGCCATACCACACAGTGTACATGCACTGTACATCATGGAGCCAGAGAAGGCAGGCTTTCTTGTTCCAGTGCCATTTTTCAATGCCTTGGTATGGTTCAGTGGCTAAATGACATTTACAGTGGTCCTAACTGCTTCTGTGTCAAAATCCATGTATTTGTGACGTAGGACATCTTACTGAAATAAAGGAAAACTAGCAAAAGGAAGGCTGAGGCTCCCCTGTTTCACAAGGAGGAGTTCTATGGAGGACAGGGAGCTTGCAAGACTCATATTCCCACAAACAGGCAGAATCATAGAATCACAGAATGGTTTGGGTTGGAAAAGACCTCAAGATCATCCAGTTCCAACCCCACTGCCATGGGCTGGGATAAGAATGGGATAAGGTGAACTCTCCTGCTAACAGGAGCTAAAAGAAAGACTCTAGCTTTGACCCTATTCTGGAAAAGATTCAGTATAGGAAACAGTGCAGATATAATATTTTCAGAGTGCTTTCTGTCTTTGACTTTGGAAGGCAGTCTGCAGTTTTTAAAGACGTGTACAGAGAATTAGTACTCCACAGATGCTATTTAGTTCTATATACCTAACAACTGTGTTTTTTTTAAGAGTATGAATGCCATTAACCCATAAGTTTATGGATCAGCTTTAAAATAATAAATTACATCCTTTCACTCAAATGTACTTTAAGATTTAAATGAGATTAAGTACACAGGGAAGATTTTAGTTTGTAATTTGCCTCAGCAAGAAATAGATGAAACACAAGGCTGTGCTTGCTGTGGTGTCCTTCATTAAAAGTTAATCTGTACAGTCCTCAGAATTATCAGGAAACAGAACTACATTAGGATATTAGGAACTTGAGAATAAAGGAAAAGTTCTTTCTCTTGGAAAGCTCTAGTTTAGATGCCTTAATTATCTCATCGTACCTTTTGGTAAACGAACAAAAAAGCATGTCATCTACAGCATGCCAGCGCAAGTTGGAGGAGAGGCAGTGAAAATTTGGCTTATCTTGAAAAAACAAGCTGTTAGAGCAATTCTGTTTCTTTGATCCAGAGACAGAGATTTCATAAAGATAGAGCTGGGAGCAGCATGTCTTGCTTTAAGATAAACTTTGTGTGTTCTTAGCCTTAAAAATCTCTGCATCCTTTTTTCTTCCACATTCATCTCCTTAGATGCCACTAACACAGCATATGTACCTAGAGCCTGATTACTTGCCTATTTCACTTCTTCACTTGGGCTGGATAAACAAACCAACCAGCCCTCAGTTTGAGCTTATTTTTGGGGTGACCGGCCCAAGAATAGGTGTACAACAGGGTTCCCTCAAAGGGATGCTTATGCCCTTACTTCTGTGTTGGAATAAATAAGACATTAAGAACTTGCTATGGGATAACACACCCAGGGAGCTCTGCATTTGGATAGAAGTCTTTGAACTCACACAGTGTCATTTACCTCCCCTTCCTGCAGGATAAAGATAGCTGGGAGTTCAATTTTTCCACATCCTCTGTGCAAATCATGTGCGACCCAGGTCCCCAAATCCTCTGTTATTTCCAGAGGTCTGACTTCCTTAATTCCCAGGTTGCTGTTTGCTATGCAGCCACAAGCAAATGCTATGATTCAGGTCACCCAGATGCCCAAGTGCTCCCATTCTCTATGTAGGAACCAAAAAAGAGATACCCACCGAGGTGTAGTTCATCTGAGCATTTTTGGAAGAGGCATTAAAGACAAGACACAGGCCCAGAAGTTCAGTGAACGACCGTAGTTTGAATAAAGCCCAAACTGTCCATGGGCTAAGCTCCTCCCTTGCTAATGACTGCATAAACCCCTGGACCAGGGGGCTGGGCACCACATCTCCTTTCCAGCCTCCTGTCTTACTGAAAGGATTTATTTAGCTTAAGCAGGACTATCCCAAACCCAGACTTCAACAAAGAGCTGAAGAGCTCAACCAAGAGAAGTTTTTGTTTTTTAATATGGCCTAACACCAAAATGAGACTTTTGACTCTCTGGTTTTTGACTGAATTATATTTGGTCTCTGCCAAAGTGTCAAATTTAACGATTTTCTAATCCATTTTATCACCCTTCTGATAACATTAGAAAGATCATGACAGTAGCAGTTTCTCTTTAAGGTTCTCCTGCAGATAGATCTTCACTTTGCTGACTCCATTACTGTAGATAACTACTGCCAGTTCGCTTTAAACTACACCTTCACAACTGACCTTTCCAATTACTGCTCTTTCATTTTTATTTGTCAGCTCTTAAAACTTTTCTAACTGTGAAGGTGAGAGATGCGATCTACCTTATACTTGGTGAAGGTATGTCTGCATACGCTTAGAATGCAGGATGAGTATAGAACTTTGCTTGTCATTAAACTGTTCAGCCATCTTTAAAGGAACCACAAAAATGATTGAAGGGGAGGGTAAAAGATCTGGACTGATAAAACATGCTGCACTGTGTATATTTCCAATTTCTGCTCTTCAAGATAGTCTCTCAGCTATTAGTTATGTCAGGGTAATCAGCCTCTTTTGGTGCACTTAAGGCCCTGACAAGTTATTGCTTATTTGAAGATAGATATATTATTACTCCTCATTATAAAAATGAAGCTGTTGATCAAGTAGTGCATTTAATTAGTAAATATTCAAAAACCTACAAAACATACAGACTTCTCATTTATTTTTAGTTTTGAACAAATTCAGATTATATCTGTGTTGGAGGCACATTGTGAAGTCCATAAACAGCCAGTATTACCACTGATGTACATGGAAATTGGAATAAATATTAAGCAAGGTTTTGTCCTGAAAAAGAAAAATACAGGCATCATAACAGCAATAATTATAATTTGTGTGGCCAAAACTTTGCAAAGCTACAGTTTTCTTTAAGAGTTAATTAGTCCTCATAAAGAACACAGACCCAAAATGGGATTTGGAGTTTATTTCAAACATCCTTCTCATTTCAGGACTGTTTAGACTGGCAGTGGGAAAAGGAGAGGTCGCATTCCCAAACTCAGACTGAAACTCATTCAAACACACAAAAATTTTGTTCAGAGCAGAAACAGGGAAAAAAGAAATAAAGTTAGGAACTCTTAACTTTCATGCTGTAGAAGATTGTTTTGATTGATAAGAATTTCTTAATCAGATTTTTCTTCCTATGAGATTTCTTTCTCAGGTTGTTTTCCTATTTACTGTTTGGACTGCAAAGAACCCTCTCACAGTTAAATCTAAACAAACAAGTCAAGTTTAGCCCACAAGGTATGTCTCTTCAGTCACCACCTGGCCTACAACTGAATTTTAATTTCTCCTTTTCAGTTGCCTCATGAACACCCCAGTTCCAACCAATGCAGACAGAAAGAGTGACACCACAAGCTGCCTACAGACACCCTACTTGCCACCTAAACCACTGTAAGCTCAGAATGGATAGATGCATTTCCATTTGAAAATGTTAATTTGACCCTTGTTTGGAAGATCCCTGTTTGGGTCTTCTGTAACCAGAGGAAGTACCTGTCAACGTGCATTCACTGCCTGATGATTTAATGAGAGAAATCAATGTGAGGTTCAAACCTTCTCTGGCTGGCAGCACACACACACTGGGCATGTTTTAGACACTGCTACTACCACTTGGCAGGACAAATTTCTGACAGTATAAGAGGCCTGTTATCTCTCCTTGGCAATATGCACAATAGGAGCCTACTTGCTTGACAATAAAACATTGGCCTTAATATAATACCCTTTTCATAGTTTACAAGGCTAGGCTTAATTAAAAGGAGAATTGTGGATGCCTTCCTTTCATTTGGTAGTAAACACAGGGTCCTTCACCCCATACAAATCTAATGGTGGTAAAGTGGGCAAAGTTAGCCAGTAGATACTACGCTATTCTTTATGAGAATAGTGCACTATGGAATATACTGCTAGAAGGAAACAGCCGTACTATTCAGTAAATACAGTAGTAATTTATGAGACCCTCACTGGGCTGCTCCTGCAGTGAGCTGCAAGGCAAGAAGGTATCACTGTCCTGCCGCAAAATCTCCCTGCATTTTAAAATAGAGATCTCTCTCCAATTATCACTCCAATCAGACAGCGTCTGGTTGGGTGAAGCTTATCTTTACATTCCTTTTTCAAGCACCAACTGACAGGTATCAGCTATATAGAAGCATGAAAAGAATGGAGCAAACCAACGTCAGCACCACCAGAAGTAAACTGAGACAGTTCACGTCACCTTCCTGGACTCACTCATAATAACCATCATGCTGTGTTCTCAAACTGTACTCCAAATTGGAAGTCTGAAGAAAGGATGTGCAAAACAAAACATGTTACAATAGGTACAGACACTACCGAACTGCAACCTCAAATGCCCACAGTCAGTGAGCCCCTTGTTTTGAACTGCACCTCAGTACACAAAATCACAACAACCTTTTGTTTGGATTGGTGTTTACATTGCAAACACCTGCATGCTCATGCATATTTTTGTATAGAATGTAACATATTGCTGCTCATACAGCATCATGGGCTCACATCAGTATTTTCATAAGGTTCATATGAAAAAGGAGATTAATAATAAGATATGGAGCTTTCATCAGGAATTGATTTTATGAATTCATCCTGTATTAGTCATATACAGGCTGAAGGTAATATACAAGCCAGAGCAGCTGGATGGCTTTTGCTGGACTAAATGAAATACATTAGTGATTTCAGTCTCAGTAGAAAGAGCTCTAACTTGATTCACTCATGACATATCAAGCCTGATGTCCAACGTCAGCAGCTGGTGTTGACTGGCAAATTTACTTGGTAATATGGACATATAATCTATTGGATCACTGAGTTCTGACTTGTGTTATTTCAGGTCATCTCAGAGATTTCTTTTTATGTATAAAAAGCTCTAGTTTTAAATCAGTTTTCTTTTTGTTTGTTGCTCTGACAGCTACTATTAGAAAAATTTTCCAAAGCCTTGGAAAGCCCTTCTCCTAACTTCCAGAATAAATCTATCTAAAGCTAAATTTTTATCTATTTTTGGATCTGATATTTTGCTTTAGCTATTTCCTGCCCTTTCTTGGTGCCTAATTGCCTATAGTATATGTAGTGTTCTGAAGTTGTATCTCAGTTTCTGTTTTTCAGGTGCAAGAAAAGAAACCTTTTTTGATTCTTTCCCTACCTGACAGTCTCAGTGGAGAAATGCAGTGCTGTCACCAGCTTGGGACACTGGCACATCACTTGCAAAGAATGAGAGAACTTGCATGACTACTCACTACCATTCTCCTGTAACAGGAGATTGCCCTGGGGATTAACAGCATACCAGTAGAGTAAATTTGACCCTCTCAACAAACGTACACCTATTCTGCCAAAAATATTCCTCAGGCACTTTAGGAACAGTGCATCTGATACAAGGTCTATCAAGAAGCACGCCAGTAAGCTTTATACGAACAGGGTTTTTTTTCAACAGCAATAATGCTGCTTTTCAAAGGATTTGGCAGTGAAGCTACAAGTAGGTTCTTGCAGAAGTTTATTCCCTTCTGTCCTTTCCCATCAGATTTTCTCTTTGGGAGGGAGCAACTGGACCATATAAATGCCACAAACAAGAGATGTTAAAACATGAAGCAACACTACAATAAAATGAAGTAACAGGCAGCTGCAGGTTCTTCTGGGGCCTAATTCACTTTTTGCATGTGAAATGAAGTGGAATAGCCCAACTGAAGTTCAAAAAATTGCAGTGGCTTAAGACCTATGTGACTGAAATCAAAATCAGGCTCTGAATTTCCACCAGGTCATTCCTGTACTTCCCTGGTTTTCATCTCGGGCAGGAATCTCATGCTGGCTTCCCAGAGCAGCCCTTTTCTAACCTTTGTGGTGATTAAGTAAACAAAAAATAGCATCTTCGAGAATTTTAGCCACTTCCAGAATTTCGTAACCACTGGATTTTGCACGAGAACGAGGGTCTGAGCTGCAAGCTGTCCCTCCTGCTCAAACAACTGCTTGCTCAGCAGCAGCTGCTTTCATTTTAAGAGATTTTGGCAGTTCCTTGGACAGGCACCAGCGAAATGTCTGCTGTCTGTGGCAGCAGTCATTACTGTATTGCACATTTGTGTCATCCATGGGATGCAGAGGTATTTCTCCCCAGGCAGTACAGAGTTAACTTGCCTCCTGCTCAATGTCTGGGGAATAAGAGCTGGGATGGCAGCCCATAGTAGGAGGGCCTGGACTGAACTCCACAGTGAAGAGGAGGGATAACATTTTTGTGTGGGGAAGATGCTTGCCAAGAAATCAAGACAGAAAGCAACAGTGGGAGAAAGGAAGTAACTCATCAGGTGCTTGGGAGAGACAACAGCAGTTCTGGGAGCTGGGTGTGCATCAAGGTCTTGGACTCATCTTTCTCTACCTAGGTCACTCACCAGGGAGAGAGCAGGAGGAGGAAGGCAGATGCTTTCGTAAGTCTGGGAACATGGCCAGCAACTCACAAACATCCAGTTTCCTACGAATACAGGCTAGGTAAATACCACTACACCACTTCTAGAGAGGAAGAGACTGAGGTTGTAGAGAACTTTTAAACATAGGACTAGTTTTCTACCAGCATGAGGCACAGAGGGGCAGGAATATGTGCATAGGGGCAAAGAGAAGGGAAGCAGCAGCAGGCCCAGTATGAAGACAGGCTGAGAAAGTTGGGGCTGTTCAGCCTGGAGAAGAGAAGGCTGCGTGGAGACCTCATAGCAGCCTTCCAGTATCTGAAGGGGGCCTATAAGGATGCTGGGGAGGGACTCTTCATTAGGGACTGCAGTGACAGGACAAGGGGTAACGGGTTAAAACTTAAACAGGGGAAGTTTAGATTGGATATAAGGAGGAAATTCTTTCCTGTTAGGGTGGTGAGGCACTGGAATGGGTTGCCCAGGGAGGTTGTGAATGTTCCATCCCTGGCAGTGTTCAAGATCAGGTTGGACGAGGCCTCGGGTGATATGGTTTAGTGTAAAGTGTCCCTGCCCATGGCAGGGGGGTTGGAACTAGATGATCTTAAGGTCCTTTCCAACCCTAACTATTCTATGATTCTATGATTCTATGACTGCTGGAGGACCACATGGCTGGACAGAGCCAGGTTAGGTACCCAACCCCAGATCTCACAGCAAGGCAATGCTGCATGCAGGAGGAGAATAACTTAGTCTTCTGCACTCCTGTTCTTGTGCCTCTAAGCAGGAGGCTGTCTTCTTCCTCTATTACATGAAAGCAGTGGTGCTACACTGAAAAAAAAAACCTTGAGTGAGTGATAGGATAGTTCCACTTTAGCTGTGTAAGCAAAACAAAAAGAAAGACAAAGTGAAGGATGAATCAGTCCTACCCTCCCAAGACTAGTGCTACCTTGAATTTCTAGACAGGCCTGAACAAACTTTCCAATTATCACACTCAGAAAGCACCTTGAGCCAGATCACATCTTGCTGGCTTGAGCACACCTCTGAGGACCTAAATATCTCAATGAATTTGAGATCAGTGCAATTGCACTGATATAAAATGACAATAAGATAAAGGATGGTCTGGCTTCTGGAAACTAAAGAAAGTGATTTCTGAAGAGAGAACAGATTACTTGAACCTTTAAGGGAAGGCTGCTGAAAAACAAAGCCCCCTGACTTTCTATTTCCCAGAAGGAATATACAGTTGGGTAGAAAGAAATGTAAATCACTGCTTCAAAACCTATAATTATTCATTGGATGAGAGGCTACAAAAGGGACAAAAAGGCAACCTTTAGGATGTTTTTCTTTGCTTTTAACCAGCCATTTGAAAACACTGCAACATGACCAATTCCTCAAAAATGTTTTCCTGACCACAGCGTCTTGCATGCAGACAAACACACAGATTATGCCAGTTCCTGGAAGAATGAACGTCATGAGCTTTTTTTAATACTAGAGTACATGTCTGTTTGTATTGTTGTTTTTCTCTTATCTCTCTAATTTGGGGGGATATTCCCTCCCTCTTTTTTGTTGTGGTTCCTGGACTCTGTTTAAACATGTACAGTAGGTTATTCTTTTTTCTCCGGTTGTTCTTTTTTTTTGTTTGGCTCTTCAGATTTTTTGCCTGTGCAAGTAAAATTGCCCTTCCTAACACTGTCTCTCATGGTGTTTCAGCCTGAACAGCTTCCACGGGGTCACCTTCGTGCTACTGTTTTAAACAATTTGCTTATTTGAAAGTAGCTAATTGGTTATCTGCTATATTCAGAAGTAAGCTTTTGAGGGCTGGGCTTTATCCCTTCCTTAGTGAGGGCTCCTGTCTCACCACTGTGTATCTGAGAAGCAGTTTCCCCAGATAAGAAGAAAGATGGGGATCTGACTTGTGCTGGTTTTTATTACAGTGGTACTGAGTCAAGGCAGCAATTAGGCACGTACTCACATGCCTTTGAAGTTGGTGGGATGTATTACCATCTTGAAAATGGAGAGGCTTAAGCAAGTGCTCTCCCAAACTGGAACTTTATTAATTGCACTCTAGTGGATGCCTGCATTGAGAGGCTTTGGAAGTTCAGGCGCCTCAGTTAAAGCTGCAGAGTCAATGCACATACAGTAAAGCACATTAATCTGTTCTGTGGATGCTCTCATTGCCATTACATCATTGCAGCTTAATCCGAGCATCCCTATGGACAAGCCCTCAAGCTTGTGACACAGAACAGCTTTGAACACACTCGGCCTCCTTCTGTAATCCACAATCTAATGTAGATTAGAATCTAGGGTAATTCACGTGTTTTTTGCTGAAATTAATTTGGCTGATATAACAGTTTATGTGTGCATTGAGCAAAAATCCCCAACTTCAAGAATTCCAAAATCGGGACCAGAGGGATAGATGACTAATGGGATACATGAAAGACATGGAAACGTTTAAAGATGTGACAAAAAAAAAAAAAAGAGAAGAATTTATGGAAAGGTGATCCCTAACCACAGCACTGTCTGTGAATCTCAGTCTCTCAACAGTGGAAAAGTCTGAATCAAAGTTACAGGAGCAACATTAAACTTTGACTGAAAACTGAAAGAAAGGATGGGGGTAGGATGGTGTAAAAACCTTAAAAATTCGTATTTGTAGAGCTAATTACGAGCTGAAATGTCAAGCTGCTTTAAATTAGTTGTGCTTTGAGTGCAAACTGCAATTGTTCTGTTTTAGTGAGTGTATCCTATTTACTTATTGAAAGACTTCATTGTATAACACATTCTTGTGGAAAAGCAATGAGCAGACAGACTCCCAGCAATACTCTTGGCTGTTTGAAAACCTGCTGTGTTTTGTTTCTCTTCACTAAATTCTCTTAAAAGAAATAAATCAAAGCTTAATTAAATCACAAGCATCTCTGCTGAGTGTCTCCTTTGATTTCCCTTTTGACACTCTCTCCTGACAGGCTGTGATACTCCACTAGAAACGCTTTGTGTTCTCCTCCTTGGGGAAAACAACTACTCTGCTCCAAGCATTGCCTTGGCCTAGGATTCGGGAGCTCTGGAAGAGGCTACCAGTGGGAGCAGAGGACCCCATGTGGAACTAATTAGTGACATAATGAACACTACAGCAGTTTATGGGCAGGAAGCTCTTAATGACGTGGCAGTAATCTCACAATGACTAATCGAGATTTCCTTCATTTCCCTTTAGCAATTCTGATACATTAATGAAAAAAAATAAAATAGAACTGTAAGCACAGTAGAGGTTATCACTTGAAATACCTGGCAGACAAAGCACTTCTGCTTTCTGGGGTTATAGCATGCAATTCTTCTCTATAAACTCTGGGACTTTGGGACTGAGAAGAGTGGTTACACACACACACCCCACACCCCCCCATTGATTTCAGCCCTAATACTCGCTGTGATGTAATATTTAGCATAACTTTCAATCACGGAGTGCAGCCCTACCATCAACCCAAGGCTGACTGGTGTAACCAAAACCGGGTATGTATTAGTAGGATTGCGTAAGAACAGAGTTATTCTTTCAAAGGTTTCTCTTTTAAAGTTATTCTTTTAAAGGTTTATCTGCATATGTAAAGGCAAACTTAAAAATACAGTGGATGGATTCAGATCGTTTCCTGCCGCAGCAGGGCAAACCCGGTGTCTAGACCAACACATGGTGTGTGGGTCTAAGGGTACGTGCAGCCCATGAAGGATGCACAACTCTCTCCCCAGTTGTTCCCCTCACAACACGCGCTCTCCCCGCTCACAACCCTGTTCCAGGGCGCAGCACCGAGCAGAGCAGCTCCTCCAGCCCCTAAACCGACCCGGACCCACCACAGGCCTCCCACAGACGGGACCCGCGACGATCGGCAGCCGGGGGGCAGCGCTGAGGCGGGGCCGGGGCCGGGGCCGCGCACATGTGACCGGCGGCGGCGGTGGGGGCGGCGCCGGTCGCGGTCCCGGCCCTGGCCCCGGTGCCGGAGGGGGTTGTGGCGCGCCGCGGCGGGGCAGTGCGGAGCGGCGGCGGTGGGGGATGTGGAGCGGCCGGGCCCCGGGCAGATGATGGCGATACGCGAGCTGAAAGTGTGTCTGCTTGGAGTGAGTACAGGGGACGGCAGGGTTCGCTTCCCCCCTTTCCTTCCCTTGCCGCCTGGCAGGTCGGGACTGAGGGAGATGGGGCGCTTGCTAAAAACGGGAGCGCTTCCAGCCCCTCTCTCTTTTTCCCTCCCGTCGAGAGCTGCGTCTCTCCGTCCCGGGCAGGGGGCTCGCCCGCGGTGAATTCCTCCACGCCGAAACTTGGCACCCGCGCACTGCGGGGAGGAGAAAGGGGGGCTTTGGTGGCCTTTTACGTGTAGGTTCTGCCTTGTTTCTGAACTTTTAAAAAGTGAGACGGGCGCAGCGGGTTGGGGGTTGGTGATGCGAGGGGAGAGCCTCCCACAGCGCTCCCCGGAGAGGGGCCGCCGCCGAGCCGGCTCTGCCGGGCGCGGGAGGCGGCGGTGGTGGTGCCCCGGCGGAGGGTCTTCCTCCGGTGCCGGAGCTCCGAAAGGCGTCCGGGAGGGTTTCTCTGCCCGCAGACCCCGCGGTAGGCCTGGCTGTCCTGTCACTCGCAGCGACGGCTTCGCCGAGTCCCGGCAGCGACGGTGGGACGCGAAAGGGAGGAAAGCGGCACCGAAAACGGCGTTTTGGGCGGCTCCTTGTCCCGGGCGCGTTGTGTCACCCATGTGCCGTGTCGGTGCTTTGTTTAATGATTCACTTGTGTTTATTCAGGGCTTTTGCTCGGCTCCTTGTGGGAATGCCCTTTCTGCCGCTGCTTTTTCTTCTTTTCCCCCCGTCCCCTTTTTGCTCGGTTTGGCGAGCCCGTGTGTGCATTTCACATCTGGAGCAGCAATGTGCTTAGCTGTGCAGTTTGGCTCTCCTGCCCCCTCTCTGCCCTGCGCTCAGGGAGTTCAACAGCAAAACTGTGCTCACCGGGTTGTTGCAAGCACCGCTGGAGAAGAGTGTCTCCTCTGCTGACGGTTGCTAGCAGAGCATCACTAGTCGGTTTTGTTTAGGCTGCCCAGGGGGGTCGTGGAGTCTCCTTTGGAGACGTCCAAAACCTTCCTGGACGCATTCCTGTGTAACCTGCTGTAGGTGGCCCTGCCTTGGCAGAAGGTTGGACTGGATGATCTCCAGAGGCCCCTGCCAACCCTAACGGTTCTGTGATTTATTGATATATTTAAAATCAAACATACCAAATTACCATGTGTAGGTTAGGCTGCTTTTAGATCCCCATCTCTGTAAGCATTCAGAAAAGTTGCATGAATGAACGCCTTTTAGAGTGAATTCTCTTTCGTGCATTATCAGTGAGTTGGACATTTTAAAAAAACCCAGACAAATACAGACACTCGAGTTCTCTCTGACTTGTGTTGACACTTACCCCAGACGGAGTTGGGTACATTGCCTCTGGAGTCAGTGGCAGGATGTGGTACCAGGGCACTGGAGAGTTCAACCCAAAGTATTTGGCAGTGACCATTCGTCTTTTCTCGGAGAGAATTCCTGCCGCTGACTTTTAAAATGGCACAGAGACAAAATAAATGTGGTTTATACAAACATGAAGAGTCTGTGGTAGAATATGTGAATGTGTCTTATTTGCCAGCAGAAAATCCTGTAATTTTATAGAGATGAAGTTGTCCTGTGGGATGATGTTCCTCTTGCCTATTATTTATTGATGGTTTGTAACATGAAAATGTACTGGAGGTTTTGCAAGGCAGTTGTTTACTTCTTTTAAGACAGGAAAAGAAACCTATAAAGCAGCTCTGTGTTACTAGGAGTATGCAATTACTCTGTAGATTCATTAAAATGACAGGGTGGCAGTGGGAACACTCAGGAAGATGTTAAGTGCCTGTAGTTAGAGATGCCAGTAGTTATTGAGATGTTTCTTCTTGTGTTTTAATAGGGTATAATCCTAGAAAACCATCTACTTTTGATCATAGACATCCCATTTACTATGGAAGTTAACACTCTGTTTTCCCCAAAGAGAGGAATCCTTTAGATGATGAATCTCTTCAGGGAGTTCTGACAGATTCCAGGACAGGGAAAGTCCGTATCTGTCTGTGTAAACAAGTGCAGACGTTAGTCTGATCCGCTTGAAAACTAGATGATAACTCAAAAATGTGTTTTCAGGTCTACCAAATCTTGGCGGCTGGCTGTTCAGTAGGTCCTGGACCTAGTAGGTTAATCTGTATTGTATCTAGTAGACCCCCTGGTCTGGGCATGTCCAAGTCCCAAGATTACTTCATATGCTCATTAGAAACAGGGATTAAATCAGTTTGTAAACCTGTGTCCCTCTTCACTTCTGAACAAAGTCCTAGGCTGCCCCTCTAAAAGACAGGAGGATCACTGATGGTCTGTGGCCCTCAGCTGTGCAAAGGGCATGGGCGTGGGCAATTTCTGCCACCTCAGAATTCCCCAGTGAGGAAAAATTGTAGCTGACTCAATGTTTTCAAAGCCAGCTTCTCCCACAAGCCCCATTTGGCTGTAGGGGGTCTAGATGGGAAGGTGAGGAGAGACTGACAGAGAGAAGCCAGAGCTGTACTCCATGCTGCTGGCCCAATAAGCTAGCCCAGTGCTCCAGGCTCAGTGTTTGGACTGCAGCCATTGTGCTAGAGGTGGGGAGTAAGTATCAGCTTCTGAATGTAGCCCTGCATTGCCGTGAGGGAACATGGCCTGTAAGTTTTAGTGTAAATCTAGCAAAACTGGGATTTGGGTATCTGCGTTTCACTTCCTCCGCCTCCAGAGAATCTTGGGGATTTTAAAACTCTCTGTGGGTGTGATGGGAGTGATATGGAGCAGCCTGGAGTAGTGTGCAAGAAGGGGATGGTCTTGGAGTTTCTAGATGGTGAAGGTGACACCAGCAAGAGAACCGCAGAGAGGAAACTGGAGCAGGTAAAGGGTAGGTGAGTCAGTTTGGGAGGCAGGCTTTGTTGATGCCACGCTTTGTTATTCATGAGCTCAAGCATGCTCTGCTCTTTGAGGAGAGATGGTTCCAGCTAGCAGGAACAGGAACATGGTGGGCTGGCAGGAACAGGATGCCTACCTAATTGTGCAGTGCCTCACAGCCTGAGGTGTAAGAGCTGCGGAGGTGCAATTCTAATGCTGTCTTGAGTATGCAAGTGGCCTCAAGCCTGCTCCTGAACTGCTTCCACAGTAAATTATTGCTGCTGGGCAGTGAGGTATCTGCACGCAGAAGATGTTAATCTTTGTAAGTGCAAATACTTGAGCACCTGCTCCAAGTCCTGTCTTGTCATCTGAAACTCTTCCTGGTCTCTCGGTCCAGCCTGTTGTTCTCAGCAGTTCTGCCTGTATTAGAGACTACCTCTTCCTGGGGTGGAGCAGGTTTTAGCTACAGCCCAGTTTACGCAGTGAAATGAAGTGCAGCTCCCATTTGACTGGCATGATGTTTCTGCCCTGAGTGGGCACCCTCCTGAGGGGGTGAAGGAGGAGGGCTGGTGTGTTCCTGAGCCATGCTTCAGTGCTGAGATGTGTCTGGCTGCCAGGTTTCCTAATCTGGCTGTGGCTGCTGAGTGCCATGTGCCTTGGCTCTCAACATTGTCTTTATGTGGGCTGGAGGAGTGATTTACAGCTCTCTGCCAAGTCCTGACATAACTCTGTGTGGCAGCCTCCGGAGGGATTGCCAGGTTTGGGGCTGAGGCAAAGTTTCTTTTCTTTGTCACTTCCTGAGGAAACTTTGACAGCCCTTCAGTGAGGCTTTGGGAGGTGGCTGGCTAACTACCGTCTAAAGTGACTTCCATTACTCTTTTCCTTGTGTTTTTGTTTATTACATTTTTATGCTGTGACTGTTCATCACAGGACCGAAGCAGTTAGGAAAGGGAGAGGCTTAGAGGTCATCCCTTGACCCTAAAGCTCCTCTTCTAACTTTCCTGACATGTTTGTTTTGTTTGTTCCTTAAAAACTCAAGATGAAGTTTTCTCTTGTCACAGGGTTATGTCTCAGAGCTTAACTGCTCTTACTGTGGAAAGTTTTCCCTGAACATAGTGCCTACAGCCTCTTTGGTTGAGACTTCATTCTTTTCACCCCTGTTTGTGTTTCCATTTTCTTGTTCATAAGAAGTCACTTGCTGCCATGCGTTCTGCTAGTGTGCAGTCTGAAGCTGGTAAGCCTACGTTTGTAAACGGAATGACGTTTCCTCTCTGGAGGAGAAGGTTTCCTCAGGTGTTTCTCCACAACTGAATCCCATTTGCTGGTATGGAGAACGGTTTGTTACCTTTGGCAATGTCTCATACCTCAGTGTGCAGCTCAGAATCGAGCTCAGATTTGTTTGACATTCAAAGTAATTGGGAATATGATGATAGTTTTCTTAAGGGGAAAATCTCTGTTTTTCTTACCTTTGTATCATGATAATGTAAAGCTCTGGATTCTGATGGTGGAGAACAAATTCCTGTAAGCTGAGCATATGCATGCATCAGGCCTTTCAGTGCAAAACTTAAGTACCCACTCTTCTCCAAATATCTATTGCACTGAACGTGTAGGACTGAGAACCTTTTGGTTTGCATTGGTGTTTATAAACGACAACAATTTTACTACTCTTTTGACTCTAAAATGTTTTTGTTATTAATGCTCTTAGTGCCTGAATGTCCCAACTCAAATAGGAGCACTGTTGTTAAAAACAAGAATGCACCCCTGGATGTGTTGTACCAGTTAAGGACCTTTCTCCTCGCTAGATAAGTGCAAGGGGGTCTACACGTTGAGCATCCTACTGAAGACAGTAACGCTACGTAGGTGCGGAAGCTGTGCATGCATCGATGCTGCAGTGCTGTAGCCTAAAACAAAACAAGAGGGACCAAAGTAGTGCAGACATTGAAGGTGGTCCCAAAAACAGAATTGTACTGATGAACTAAATATATGTCCACAAAGTATCTGTCTGAGAGTGGACAGAGACTTGCAAGTGATTGTTTTTTTTTCCATGTTAATAGTTCATCATCATCCACTTATTCATTATGTTTATTATGCAAACAAGGAGCTCTATCATGAGAAATTTTTGAATCGTGACTTTTCATGGCTGCCTGTCTCATGCAGTCAGTGGTGTGAAGTGTACATCA